GGCCGCGAACCGAGCCCGGCTCCGAGCGCCCGCCTGAACCGGGCACCTACTGTCAAGGCATACAGCATTACAGAACTCCTGCCCCATGTCAGGGGGGTTTGAAACCGAGAGGGGTGGTTAGAGATGGCGAGAGGGAAACAGGCTGCGAGCCCGCGGGGTCCGGGGGGTTTCCAGAACTAACTGCTGCCACAAAGCGCTACTGCGAAAGCCTTTGTGAGAAGGAGGCGTGCAGCACATGGACCGTGAGAGGTGCAGCGACACGCAAATACCATTTCTTTTTTTGGCATTTATTTCACAGATGCCCTATTCTGCCTCAAAATGTCGCTGCGTTTTATGCTATTTCTTATTAAATACCTTAGTCCATTTACAACTGGGAAAAGGAAGGTAAAACCAGACCTGACCCTGCAGGTTCCTGAAGGGGAAAATGAGCGCTTTGTGACCAAGACTTCTATGGCATCCCCGCAGGGAAAGACAAGATATTAGCTGTTGCTGCTGAGACTATCACGTTGCCGTTTTCGTGGGCACAAAGCCCACAGCTTCCCAGAACACAGCAACTTAACTTTGGAAAGAAACATGATAAGGTGCAAACACATTTCACTTCTCAATGTCAGACATCTTTTATTACTTAACTCGGCAATTTCAACTCGTGCCAACTGGCAGCCTCTCCCAAACCAGGAGGATGATGGCAAAGCGAAGTGGCGGCTGGAACAGGGCCACGGCAGGGATGGCTTTTCAGAGAAACGCACAGGGTGCTCCGCTCCCCCTCTGCCAAAGCACTGTCCCTGCGCATCAGCACGCAGCGCTCTGCTGGGCCACCGAACCAGCTGCGACAGTCAAGGGAAGCCACTGTCGGGGGCGCGGGGCAGGTACGGCGCCTGGGAAACCATTCTCTTGAAGATCAAGTGCTGTAAAACATACTAAGCAGGCTGGAAATCCTGCACCTCTCAGGCCAGCCCTGAGAAACAAAGGAAGAAAATTTGAGTCCTTTGCTGCCTTCAGCGCGGTTCACTGGGAGTTACAAATACTCCTCCTTACTGTGAATTCTGATGAAGGACAAACTGCTGTGAAATCTGCTACTGCCTGAAATCCCCTACAGATCGATAGGAAACCATTCCTATGGAACTTTAAAGCATGGCTATATTTTTTATAGGAACATTAAAACTAAACACTACTGGAAAATCCTGCCAGTCTTCATTAAATGCTACAGGACAGCTTCGCAGCAGGTAACATCCTGGCATTTCCACAGAGCCTGAGGGACTTGGAAACCTAGGAATTGACTCAGCCTTGACATCGTCCTCAGGAGCATCCTGTTCTCACTGTCTCCAGGTGCCCACGGGGACCTGCATCCCCCATGGGACTGTACGCCGTCAGGGACCCTGGCACCAGCAGCAGAACAGACCTGACGCTGGCTGGGGTGGCCCTTCGAAATTCCCGGGCTAAAGACTACTTGCACTGACGGTTGACCTGCACTGAAATCTTTGTGCCCTGAGGGCATTTGCTGGCACACGAACAAGGGCAACCGTGTAGAAGGTGGCTTCATCACCAGTGGGCTTGGTGGGACTGCAACCTGCCTGGCGACTCTACCTACGAATCTAAGCAGCCACCAGCCTGCTACTCCCTCGAAGAACCTCCTCTTCAAGTCAGATAGTTAATATTCATGAACATGCCCCTTATAAACTGCCAATCCACTAATTTTGAAGAAGCAATATTCATTTTGCTAAAGAAATGGTGTTCTTAACACTACAAATTTTTTTACACGTACAAAGAAATATATACCTTTCATATACATATACAAAAATACGCTCCTGTTAACTGTGATTTATGAGTTTATTTAGAGCAAATATGGACAAACTAATATGCTGTTTAGAGGCAAGTACCTACTGGGATTAGCAAAACATTTATTTATTTAGGCAGCTGCTAAATGCTCAATTTCAGTTCCCCAGTGGCACTCTTGATTTGATCTGTATTAACTTCTGAAAAATTATAAGACCATCTAGGTACGCTGACTGGATATATTCTGTGTTTTAGTGGCTTTCTCAGCACATAAAATGCAGCAGATTGATGGGGGAGGAATAGATGTGGACATTCTCTCCCAGCTCCACTAAATCCGTCAGCATGTAGTACACTGAATGGTGATGTCGCTGACTCTATCTTTCCCCTGTCAAAAAAACCCCTTAATTTTACTTGCTTAAAACCCCCCCAACCCAAATCTTTGGAATCAGTGGTCTAAAAGGCAATGCAGCCACTGAGTCCAGGAGCCCCCATCACAGCTCCAAACATTTTTCGAGCACTTAGGCCTGTGGCTAGTGACTTGGAGTATCTCCACCTGAGTTCAGTCAGAAATACGTTGAAAAGGCACCTAGGGGCTCTCAAAAATTGGAAATTCACGCGAGCACACGCATGGACTTTTGCCTCAAGCTTGAGATGTTTGTATTGAGCACACTGGTGACGGGTAAATGTGCTGCCACATTTCCTGCTTAATCACAAGGTCTGTAAAGTAACGGTTAGGAGTGATGATGCTGAAGCATCAAAGCAGGAGGAAGTCCTGAAAATAAAGCAGGACAGGGCTCGTAAAATCGGTGTTCTGTCCTTGGCCCTTCCAAAGGTTTTCGATCTGACTTTGAGCAAGTCATTTGTTCGTCCCTTTTACATACCCACACTTAAAAGCGGCGCTTGCACCGGGAGCCCTCTGCTCTGCTTCCAGCACTGCTCGCAGTGGTGATGTGCCCCGAGGTGAGTCAAGTCCAACGCTGACTCAAGGTCTGTCTTACCCACGTCTCCCAAGAAATCAAGGGCAACTGGGACCTCAACTCAGCCACATCATTTGAATACCTAGAAGTAGCTTCACCAGACGACTCTGAACATCCAACCCACAGGGATAAGTAATCACTAAAGGGAAAAAGGGACTTAAAATCTTTCTGCTCTCTTAACCCCTGCAAAATGTACACAGCGTGCCAGGAAATGCACAAACGGTACCACCAGGAGACGACATACACATTTCAAAAGGGTATTTCCTAAATCAACATAAGAAGCACAGAGTGCTGGAAGCTGAAGAGCAGAAGGTTTCTAACACAGCTAGAGAGATAAAAGAACTGGAATTTCTACTAAAAATTGTCATACTTAAAACATTTAAAGGGAGTTCTCCCTTTCTTGTCAGGTAGAAAAATTAAGAGAATTGCAGCCTCCCAGCCGCCTCCTCTAATCAAAAGTAGCCAAGGTAGAAACATCAGGTGAGGAATAAAGACATCACACTGTGCTAACAGAAGCGCTGTACAGATATCACCGGCAGACGGTACGGATTACCAACTTTTAAAACGCTCACAACACAGCCAAGAGCCAAGCTCGTTCCCATACAGATAAACTAGAGGATCGTTCTTTACGTTTCACCTTTCTCTACATTTTCTAAAGTAAGGTTTTTTTCTTCGCTTACTCACCTAGATCAAAGACCTGAAAGTAACAACATAAATAAGTTCAAAATTACTAATGATGGTGAACAGTATCTTTTTAAATTTTTAACTGAAATGAAACGGGCTTTATATTGGCTTCAAGCTCACGGTTTTGCTCCACCTATATACTACATGACAGAGCATTGCCAGTTCTCATAATTTTATAACAAGTCTTACAGTTCCTGGTGTTTGTTCACCTGACAAGTCAACTGAAATAAGTAGGTGAGAACTTCAGACTCTGGTAAACAGATAAAAGTCTAGTCCTCATACTGTGGAGAAAACCTTGAAAGTAACAGCCCAGGAGTTAAAGGCTCAGGATGCAAATAAACACAACCCTAAAATGATTTTTAAGAAACCCTCAACTTCTTAAAATCGGCTCCTAATATTTAACCATCTGACTCCCTCACTGCAAATGAATCAGAAATCGCAAAGATCTCTGCTTTAAAGCTGCATTTGATTACCACCACATTATGCCTGAAAGATAGAAATCTTCAGTTAAAACTTATTGGCACAGAGAATTTTTTCTTGTAAAAAAATGTTTCATTCTTGTTTAGAGTTTTCTCTTAACAAGAATTGAATAATTATTGCAAATAAAAACATAAGATGGAGAATATTCTATCTTCTTTTTTTCCTTTTCACATTTCTATTACAAAAATTCTTGGTGAACATGACATTTTCCTGAACGTTTTCTTTTTAAAAGAAATTAAACCCCAAAATTTGGTTGGAATACAATTTTTTTAATTGCTTCTGCAACATCAACTAGGAGCTTGTGACCATGTTAAGAGTTCTTAGTATAACAACGCCTCTTTAAACCCACTGATCTCAACTGACCAAGAACTACATATATAAGAAAGGTCTTCATGCACATATTGGCAGAACTTAAGACCACCGTTTCCCCTCAGAACCAGACCACATGGAAGCAGCTGCTGCAAAGATACTACCCAGGTCTATCAACCCCTCTGTCACAGCCCTGAGAAAGTCACAGGGAATTCAGAAAACAACCGTTTGAACTTTACATTGCCAATAATCTGTGGGCGCTTCTACCAATGGGTAAGGAAAAGCACCACAGGCTGTGAAATCAAGGTGAAATAAAATGCTGTCCGATAGCTAATGACACTGAAGGATCCTAAAAACGACTTTCCTGAGCCCTAAGGAGAAAGGAAAGGTATGCTCCCGTAGCCGGCCTGAGCCACCCAGCTCCCACCTTGGTCCCACGCTCCCTGTCACCAGACAGGACTGTGCAGGAGTAACGGCTTGGGGCAGGCCAGGGGAGCATCCGGCAATTTTCCGGTACCTGTATTTATTGGGGAACATCCTCTCACAGTCTTTGCACTCATAGACCTGTCCATCTCCAAGACCTTCTTGCTTGATCTCGTCATTCAGGGTCTCGTACAGGGAGCTGACAGCGTTGCAGGCGTACTTCTTGTGTCGCCGCAGGTCGAGCTTGGACTGAAAAAGTTCATCGCAGTCCTCGCAGCGAAACGTGTGCTCTTCTACAACAGACAGAGAAGACAACTTTGACTTGTGGATCAGGACGTTCAAACAATTCTGATTATTTTACCCAACACTGGGCTTGCAAAGCAAATGTAATATTCTGTGAGGATCTAGTAAACGAACGAACGAACGAAGGGAACTTTAAAAGTGACAAGAGAGAGAAACCAAGGTAGGCTGTGCCAGCAGACTGCTTTCACTTTAAGCTTTAAAAAAAAAAATTTTTTTAAAAAATCACACAACCAAGAGAGATCTTGTTTTCTTTGTCCCAGCCTCTGCTGAGACATAGAGACCTACAGGAATTAGCAGATACACAAAATACTGGGGCTGCTTCTGGAGTATTATGTTTGTTTGCAATGACGTTTTTTGACACTATGAATGAGCTCGTCCTCAAAAGGGGCTGCCAGGGAGAAAAGGAACAAACCCTACTTGTAAAGACAGACCCTGGGAAAAGCAAATTGCCACAGCACAAACCTGGAGAAGTTCCTTTCTAAGAAAACGTCTTTCTAATGTTACCCTCTTAACTCGTCCCTCACAACTGCAGAAGCACAGTGCGCCATCAAATCCGAGGAGTTCAAAATCAGAGTACTACAGAATAAAGAAAAGGGAGCCAAATTCTTTGTTGTTGTGCTGGGTTTTTTCTTCATTTTTTGTTTAAAAAAAAAAAGATCTAATGCACATAATAAATGATTGTAGTCAAGGTCAAACAAATTAAAAAGAGGGCAGCTATTATTAAGTTTACAAGGCAGCATCCTGACCATGGTGCCAAGCCAAACAATCAGCTCAGAGCTGTAAATTTTCCAGGAGAACGACCTCTGTGAGGGAGTCAGGATCGCTCTGGGTTTCTCCACCCAGCAGCCAGCTTGAAACAGAAGCTTTCCAGCCACCGCTTAGTCACTGGTGCCGCATTTCCCTGTCCTCCTCTACCCTCTTCCTCTGCACGCCGGGGCTCTGTTTCGTATTAAGTTTTAGTCTCTTTTTCTGATAGCTTGACTTTCAAGAGGAAAGCTTGTGGTAAAATGCGTTAGCTCAGAGGGAAGAGTGGAACTGTTCTAAGAGATGCAGCCAAAAGCCAATGTCGTGATGGAGCCGATCCATCCCCGAGCGCTGCTGCTCTGTGGGGAAGGGGACGACGGGGTAAGGTGCGGGCGGCACTCGCGTCTTTGTGGCTGCTTCTCTGCCTGAAGCCCTCTTCAACATCTGCAACCTTTCAGCAAACCCTTGGTTTGAAGCAGCCCATGCACTTGTCCACCCTAAGCTTTGCACTTAGGGTGCGCTTTAAGGATTGAAATAGTGTTTTAAATAAATCGGGGTTAATTTTGTTAAAAGTGCGACGTGAGTAGAAACACAGGCAGCGTCGCACCCAGAGACCATTGACTGCTTCCCTGCCTGCACTCGGGCAATAATCTCCTTTCTCCACTTCTCTCAATACAGCCTATTTAAACTCAGGCTGTGGTTTTCGACCTGTGCCCCTGCACGCCGGGGAGCCTGCGACTTGCTTCTGTGGTGACTAAGACAAAATCCCATAAGCTGCTGCAGCAATCTATGTAGGAGGATGAAACCCAAAGTGGTCCACACCTACACGGAAAATATCAACACGCCCACGAACTGGAAAAAGTCAAACACAGCTAAACAAGAAAATCACTGAGACACAATCAGCGAAGCCTTGCTGTTTATCCAAGCAGCGTCTCCGATGGTACCATACCCTGTTTACACAAGGAATTAATGCAATACGGAGATGCTACAGGATTTCCTGAACTGCAGGAGAGAGGGATGGAAAGAGAAACAAAATCCAGCAGGTCAGCATTTTCCTTTCAGGGGGAAAGGGATTTTGACTGAAAAAGGAGACCTATGGGAAGAAAATACCCCTATTTTTGCCATTTCAACTAGTTTTGACAGATCGTATACTCCGAAATTGCCATCAGCAGCCTCACAATGAAGTGGATCAGGCCCTGCTCTACTCCTTAGAGAAATTCTGTTTACCAGCATGTCGTAGAAAAGCACCAATAAGTGTCTCGTGTCCCTGAGGAGGGAAACCTGGAGATCAGGATGTAAAAAACTACCTAGCACTATCAAGAGACTGTGTATAACCAATATATGAAAATAATCCAAACGTTTTTTTTTTTTTGAGGGGGGGAAGAATGGTAGTATCATGATGTGTCTCGTTATTGCATTTTACTTGGAACAACAGCATGAAGCATACAATGTTACCTAGCAAAATTTAAGATTTAATCTACACGTGTTTATGGACCGAAAACATTCTTTGTGTGAAAGCAGCAAGGCGGGGGGGGAGAGGCAAGGGCTGTGATTAGGTCTGTTTAGGTACCTTTTCACTCTCTACACGTCCATAACTCGGGTGAGAAGAGACAAGCCTGACAGCATCAAGTGTCCTGAACGCACACACTGCATCGGCTGAGGCAATAATCTCATCATGCCATCTCTTCTCCTTATTAATGAATTCGCGTTAGCTCTGAAACAAGCGTTGACCTGCTACAACGTTCAGCTTTCATAGTCTCAGACGTCAAGTTGTACTCAAAAGTGTCACTGGCACTAATAAACATGACCTCACTTTTGTTCTGTTTTTGACTCCTGGAGACGTGCGTGGGATAGAAGTTCATTTGACTCATGCAGCCCACTGAACTGTGCAGTAACAGGATAAACCCCTCGCTAACTCCAGACAACGTGGAACTGCTCTGGCAAGGTGTTCGTCTACCTCAGAATTCACCCTGCAAATCCAATGTTTCCCCTCTTCCCTCTTTTGTAAATACAGTGATGGCTCAACATGCGGCGGCTTTTTTGTAGAAGCGACTGAAAGCCCTCCGGACTGGGAACTCCCCAGTACCTTCACCTCTTAAGAAGCTCCTACGAAATTTCCAGCATCTCTCAAGCTCAAACTAGAAATCTCCCAGACCTGAAAACTTGGAATGGAGGAAACAGGTTTTTTCTTTTTCTGACTTCAGAGAAAATGCATCAAACCACCTTCTGCAAATCCATATGAAACTCCTCCTACTTCAGTTTGAGATTTACATGATTAATTGTATCTTATTTCACCCAAACTATCCTCTATGAACCAGAAATCCACTTTGAGTTTGGAAAACTAGCCATGGAAAATGATTTACTACATACCTGGCTAAAGATGGACAACTCGCAAGCACCCCCTCCCACAGTATACAACCTGATATAGCACTCTCTGTTGTTATCAATGGGAATAACGTATTTTTGTCCTTTCTATGAGATTACAGAGTAGCTAGACAGACAGACAGACAGATGAAATCCATTAATAGCCTCAGTAATAGCTGTTAGAAAAGCAATTTGGCTTCTAATTCTCCTTGTCCTTTGTCAGCAGAATCACAGATCTCACACAAATCACACACAATATAACCTGATCCTCAGTCGGTAGAAGCTGGTGTAGCTACCTTTACACAAGCTGAGGAGCTGCCCCCTATTTTATTAAGAAATGTAAGAAACAAGACAGCTCAGCTGAGGCATGTGCCTTTTTTACTTTTGCATTTGTGTACTCTCAGAGCTACACAGCTTTTACAGCTCTAGCCCTTGCACGTCACTAAACTGAAAAAAACCCTGTCTATTTTGTACAGGCTCACCTTTCAGTAACAACAACGTTCCTCTTCCATCACCAAACACAACAGTGTTTTCATAGGTAGAAAAGATGGACGATAAGAAAAGAAAGGCACGTTTCAGAATATTTGTGTTTGGAAAAAGAAAGTCTTCTTGAAAAGAAGTAGTAGAGAACTGACAAAAGGACGATTAAAAGCCTTGTAGTCACACGCTATACATGCTGCCACTGGTTGCAAATACTATTTTGATGCTTGGACAGGTTCAACAGAGGACAAACTGACTGGCTGGTAGAGTAGCTGATTATATCGTATCAATATCCCACACCCATTCCTCCGGCATTCCCGCTTCCGAACGTTAGAAGATGAAAGATCAGAGTTCTCAGTAAATAGCGCTGCAGAGAAAGGAACTGACCTGTAGTGTAAGGGCCAGACCATCACCCTGCAAAAATGAGACCTAAGTAACAAAGCAGGCTCAGGACTGAACTAAGAAGACCTGCTATATCTATTTTGTGTCTTTACATCAGACACCCACTTTGTAGACTTCAGGTTCATTAAAGTTGGGGTTTTTTTTCCTTCTTTAAGCACCAAAAATAAAAATCTTGCCCTTCAAAACAAGTTCTCATTAAAGTTTTCTTCTTTCTTTAAGCACTGCAAATGAAAATACTGCCCTTCAAAAACGGTTACTACTTCGGTATCTTACAGGGAGAAGGGGATAAAAAGAACGGAAAAATCCAGTTACAAAAAAATTGCTGCCTGCTCTCTGTGTCTTGTTTGTCAAATCTATGGTTATATGTGTCTATCTTAAGTTCCATCAGTAACACTCAGGACAAAGCAGGAATGTAACAGAAAAATAAATCAGTGCCTAATAGCTTTCAGAGAAACCAAGGGGAACACAATTATGTGGCATCTACATGCTAATCTACCAGACTTGAATCTCAAAGGAGTTCAAGTGCCCTACTCAAAATTCCTGCAGTGATAAGGGGTCTGCTGTGTTTGGCTGGGGTTTGGAGAAAAGATTTTTATGATAATTATCTTTGTGTGGAACAATTTTGCATTTTCTTTCTTGTTAATTCAGATTTGAAATGAGGGTGCGAGGCAGCAGGAAGAGAGCATTACCGAAAGTAAAAAGTATTAAGAAGTCAAATATTTAATGTTGGCCTATTATAATTTGAAAGCAATTATGTGGCAAAAGCACTAGACATTACCAGGAAGATACAGATAAATGTTACATAATGACAAAGATGGAAAACAAGGAGCACTTTTTGCTTGTTCAAATGGAAGCCCATTAGAAACAGAAATGCGAAAGAGGGGCGAGTCCTCTTCCTGATTTCTCCCTGACATGAAGAAAAAAAGGTATGTGTTACTCCACCATCGTGAACACAGAAATTATTCACCTCTGTGTGCTGGTCTCCAGAAAATTACTAACTCTTTTTGGGAGAACACTGAGAAATTAATCCCAAACCTGACATCTCAGTGAGACGGTAGCTACCGCACTGCCTGTTCATTCACTTCACCCATGGACCTTCAGCAAAAGAGCTTTCAGCAGCACTAATCCCCAAACTGCCCATTTTTTTCAGAAATACTTGAAACTAATTGTGCGTATGGTACGTACACTCTTAAGGAGTTTCACTGCGAATCTGAGTCTGAAAATTATATCCATATACAGGTAAAAGAAAAGAAATATATTGCAGGATGTCCAGGTGAGACAACTCAAATTTCAGCGACTAGTTATGTAGAACAGTACTTCCAACTAATAGTTTAAAAATAACTAGCAGATGAGAATTTATGTCTAGGAAATAGTCGTCAAATAATAATGCACAACCTGCAACAGGCTCTACATTCGACGAATGAACAAAGACCTAAGTAATATTCCCTAACAACCTCTTGGCTTTACAAAATTCATGTACCTTCTATACTGTTCTCTAACTTTCACTGTCACCACGTGCCAAGGAAACTAAGAACTTTGCAAGTCCAGACTGATTTTAATTTCATTTCAGGATCACAATGTACTTCACAGGAGGTTAGCTTTCTGCAACACTCTGTCATGATAGGGTTTTGTACTCTAGCTATGTCTGCACTGTTGCCTTGTTTTTATAATATTTTTGGGAATGGTGTAGCACATCTTTCCTAGTTTTCTTAAGAGAGGACTTCCACTGCACAAGAGTGTATGGACAGGCTCTGCCACTTGCAGTGAAAGAGGTGGGATACCAAATGTTAGTCAGAGTCTCAGATGATCGTTGGGGAAAGCACTCTAACAAAGGAAAAAAAACCCTGGCGACACTCTCAGGTTGCCAGAATATTTCAGCCCACGTGTCCTGCTAACCTGCTCTCCTGTCACTGACAAGAGCCAGCAACGGCTGCTACGGAGAAGCGTGCGAGGACCCTGCGAAGGGCAGGTGAGCAGCAACCTGTCCCCGGGGAATGACACCTCCTAACTGCCCTGCAACGCCTCACCTCGGCTCGGTCTGCACTTTCTTCCCAAACCCCTGAATTACGTTTGTAATCTGGCTGTAGGAATTCTGGCTATTCCTACTCTTCGGTACCACGTGTTTCTGTCCTTTGTGAAACTAAAATAGAACCCGAAGCTTTCAACAGTCTAAGTGCGGAAAGCTCTACACTTCTTATTAAAAAGGTAAGTACTTTATAGCCATCTTTGTGCACCAGGAAAAGAGAAGAAGGATTCAGAGTCTTCTCTTTTCTTTCTCTTTTCCCATCCGTCTCTTACATGTCCTCTTGAATTTCACATAGCACCGTCCTAGTGTAGGAAGAGAATCCAAAAATCTTAGCGCACAGCTCCTTGCCCCATCTTACCAGAAAACGCTCACTTCACCTGGAAAGCATCACGGTCTTTTAGACAGTCTGTGTGCTGACTGAACTTCAGTAATTATCAGTGGGGTATTTAGAGGAAAATGGTTATGCTGATAGATGAAGAAGTGAATAAGCTTAGTCTCTTGGGTTGCTTCTCACACAATATGCAGTTAAGGAAAGTTCTTCCTCTGCAAGCCTATTTGAGCTACACACCTTGTCCTGCGATACCAGCTCACTGCAGGGCAGGAGAGACATCGCAGTAATAAAAATGTGACCTTTCTTTTAAAAATAGTCATTCCTTTGGCCTTCACTGCATCCTTTCAGGGCTTCAGAGGTGTCTATATTCTAGCAATAATAATTCTAGCGATGACTCTTCCATCGTCTGCCTGGGTCCCCCTCTTCCATGTAATCTAACGCTCTAAAGACCTGCATTTTGCAAGCCTTGGAACGGTCTGGCCCATTTCCATTACACCTAAAGAAACACGGTGACCCTGGGAATTAAGAAGGCACCTCCGATCACATTCAAAACCACAATGTTCCTCAAAGCGAAGCAGCAAAGCAATCTGTTGCGTGCCTTGAGGTTAATAAAAACTTGCTTGCTATCATTGACTAAGACAACTACTCTCACCAGGGAAAGAGCAGAAACAAGCATAAAATATTAACAGTTACAGAAGGGGCAGGTACCGGATTAGGTTTCTGTCCCAGTTCAGCACTAACTGAGGTTCTCCACGTTCCTAGGTTTGCTGGCGAGAGGTGCAAAAAGGTCCTATCTAGCAAAATGAGGCCTTACCTTCCATGCTGGGCGCCATGTTCCCAAGTGAATAACCACCTTCCTTCAAATACACCAAGAGCTCTTCTCCTGGCTCAATTTCTTTAATAACTTTATAATAGATCTGGGAATCAGAAACAAAAATTGAGAGACATGTTAAATATGCAAAGACTTGCATTTTACATTTTAACCAATAACTCAAATTACTTCAGCTAATAGGGGAGGCTGTCACTTGATTTGCGCGGTAATTGCTACCGAGAGCTCTTTTTTTCTGCCTTTATTTTACTCTACGTGTGTCAGCATTTCACTCAGCTCGGACAATAAAGTCGTATTTACGGTAACAGGCTCTCTCCTTCAAATTACACAACATCTTCCCATTGTTTTCCCTACCTCCTATAAGCGTAGTGTATTTGTTACAGTGAGGGGAAGATTAAACTGATGGGATTAACGCATTTAAGTCTCTGCTTCTCTAAGCCGAAACTGGCCTGACGATCAGAGAGCTGAACGAGCGTATCTTCACGGAATTAGTCTGTAGACCACTCCTCAGCCTGAGGACCTGATCCATGTTGACACAACCTGAACCATTCCAGGTGAGCAGTCCATCCCCATTCAGAGCTCCTGTCTACCCACAGAACCTGGAGCTTCGGAGACATTCTGAGTACAGTACTGTCCACCTCCCGTACCTTTGCCGTTACACCAGAGAACAAACCCAGAAAGGGAGACGGACCGAAGGCAAGGGCAGAGAGCACATGCCAGCTGTCTGCCCCATTCACGTAGCCGTTCATGTAGAACATGGTTTAAAGGGTACCTCAGCCTCACACGGGCTTCCTGAACCAAAATGAATTTACCCACTCCAGGGATGCATTTCTCAGAAGATATTACAGTGAGAAAGGAGTCCCCTTTATCCAAGGTGCAACGAAGTGTAACGCAGCAAGACATCCACATACTAGTGTGCGTTCGCATACACCCCACACACTTGTCTTTGCCGCTCTACTCCCAGACCAAAGAGAAGCCACGGCAGTACATCCAGTGACGACTGGGTTACACACGAGCGGAGCCCAGCGGCCTCATTCCTCCTGACAAAATGGCAGAGTTCGCGGGGAGGAAGAGCATGCCCAGAGTGGCTTATTCGCATCGGCAGGCAGAGCGCTTGCCGGTTCCCTGCAATGACTGGCACCGAACCCATCCTCATAGTCGCAGGCTGCTCGCGGGTACCGCGCAACATGGCGGCTGCGGCAGTTCTGGGCGTGGAGAGCGAGCTCAGAGGTGCACCTGGGAGGGCACTTCGTGAAAACCTCCCCAAGAACACCGGCAGCAGGAGGAGACCAACGGCAGGGAGGGAGCCTGTGTGGCTGGCAAAGAGGAGGATCACAACTACGTGACATCCAATGTCTCCCGTACGTTTTCCAGCCTCCTGGAGCACGCGGGGCCCTCTCCCCCGGCAGCAATCGTACCGTCAGCTCAACAGGTAGCAGGTACG